CCCTTAACCACTACTGAACCCGAGACCCTTCAGTCCTCGGGCTGAACCTCTATCCACTGAGCCAAACCAACTAGGGCTCTCACCCCTTTTAAATGGTAATGCACAGGGCCTATCTACCATAAAATATTTATAAGCATGTTTTTAACTAGTAAATATTGTTATTTATCATCCCATTCGTAATTGTTCAGAATTCTTTGAAGGTCCAATGATTTATAGGACTTTCCCCATGCTTATGAACTTTCCCTTACCTTGCTAGGCAAAATAAAAAATCACAAAAATGCAGATACTATCAGAACCCTCAAGGAACTTACATTTAGGGGGTTATATTCTTAGATAACTAAGAAGGCACAATGAGGTAAGTGCCACCAGAGAGAAAAGAGCTGTGGTACTGTGAAAAGTTCTGGAACAGGCTTTCTAGCCATCTGGCCCCTGCCAGGCACAACTCCAGCCAGAACTCACTATTATCCTACTAACAAACTATAGACATTTCAATCAGGTTCCCTGCAGGTCCAGATCTGGAGTACTGCTCATCAAGCCCCCATCAGCCTCCAAATTTCCACTGTACCCTCAACCAATAAGATCGACCCTTCCACCTCCTGGAAAAAGCCCTTCTGCTTCCTAAGGATGGTTCAAATGTCACCTCCTTACCTGAACCTTATGTAGACCCTCAAGGAACAATTAGTTTATGCCTCCTCTGCAATCCCAAAAGCCTTTGCTTCAAGCACTTAAAGCACTTATTATCCATGTGTACCTGTGCAGGGTCCCCCACTAGACTGTGAAATCTTTTTATTTTTAGATTTTTATTTATTGATTTTAGAGAGAGAGAAACATCAATCTATTCCACTTACTTTTTAAAATATATTTTTATTGATTTCAGAGGAAGGGAAAGGGAGAGAGAGAGAGAGAGAGAGAGAGAGAAACATCAATGATGAGAGAGAATCATCGATGGGGTGCGCCCGGGCATGTGCTCTGACCGGAATCTAACAGATATCTCCAGGTTCATAGGTTGATGTTCAACCACTGAGCAACATCAACCAGGTTGTTGTTCTGTTCCACTTATTTATGCATTCATTGGTTGCTCCTTGTACGTGCCCTTGGGATGATGCTCTAACCCAACTGTCGCCGACTGGTGGTCCACAGACCACTGGTGGTCCGTGAGGTCCAAAAGGTTGGCAACGGCTGCTCTAACCAACTGAGTTATCTGGCCAGGACTAGACTGTGAGATCTGTAAAGCAGCTTTGAATCCTCAGCCACTCACAGCACCCAAAATATAATGTGTCAAACACAGTATAAGTACTTTACATGTATTACCAAAATACATTATATTAACATATACATATTATCAATTATCACAGTAAAACTACAAATGAGGTTAGAATTTTCATCATCTCAATTTTATAGATGAGGAAAATAAAGTGCACAGAAAGGTTAAGTAACTAAAGTGCTCAAAGTCTCAAAGCTAATAAGAATTAGACCCCAAGATTTCAACCTAGCCACAACTCCAGAATTGAATATAAACAGGGTTGAGAAGGTCTCACTACAAGACCAATGGTCTCCATCACAGAGGACATAGTTATTATTTACCCCCTGGGGCAAGGGTCCTCAAACTTTTTTTTTCTTTTTTTTTTTAATATATTTTACTGATTTTTTACAGAGAGGAAGGGAGAGGGATAGAGAGCCAGAAACATCAATGAGAGAGAAACATCGATCAGCTGCCTCCTGCACGCCCCCCACTGGGGATGTGCCCGCAACCAAGGTACATGCCCTTGACCGGAATCGAACCCGGGACCCTTGAGTCCACAGGCCGACGCTCTATCCACTGAGCCAGACCGGTTCTGGCCCTCAAACTTTTTAAACAGGAGGCCAGTTCACTGTCCCTCAGACCGTTGGAGGGCCGGACTATAGTTAAAAAAAAAACTATGAACAAATTCCTATGCACACTGCACATATCTTATTTTGAAGTAAAAAAACAAAACGGGAACAAATACAATATTTGTATTTGCATGTGGCCTGCGGGACGTAGTTTGAGGACCCCTGCCCTGGGGGATGTAAGGACAATACTGGAACCTCTAACCATATTTGTTTTAGCTCAGCCTTTTGTAAAATGTCTATTTTTGCACATTATAAAGTATACATAATACAGCCCTGGGCAGTTGGTTGGTGCATCCCCCCATCACCAGAAGGTCTCAGGTTTGATTCCCCATCAAGGCACATAAATACCTGGGCTTCGGGTTTGATCCTGGTTGGGGCACATAATGGGAGTCAACCAATTCTGTCTCTCTCACATCAATGTTTCTCTCTCTTCCCTTCTCTCTAAAAAAAATCAATAAAACCTATCTTCATCCTCCCACCTGGCCTGTGTTGTTCAGTGGTTTAGGGTTGGCTCATGCACTAAGAAGCCACCAGTTCGATTCCCAGTCAGGGCACATGCCTGGGTTTTGGGCTCAATCCCTTGTAGGGAGTCTGCAGGAGGCAGCTGATTGATGTTTCTTTCTCAAACACTGATGTTCCTATCTCTCTCCCTCTTCCTCCCTCTCTCTCTAAAATCAATAAAAAATATATAAAAATTAAAAAACAAACAACAAAACATATCCTCAGGTGAGGATAAAAAAATGTACATAATACAGAGTACAGTCAACACCATAATTGTAATTTAAAACAAGCATTCACATAATGTGTGTGTAATACTCAACCCTATTTACTGAGAGAACACTAAAAACATTTGAGGCCACTGCTCTAGATTACTTCCCCTAGGGACTCTGAGCTCCTACATTCTCTCTGCCCAGTACTTCAGTTAAAAACATTAGCCAAATGTTTAGACTATAGGTAAGCTTCTAGAGGCGAGAGTCTGCTCTTTCATTCACCTTTGAAGCCCTACAACACCACAGGGCCTGGTGCTTAGCAGATGGTCAATGCTGAATCTAACTGTATCATGAGAATCTCATTGAAAAAAATCCTCTCAATATTTTAATGTAACTTACTATATGCTTCCAGATTAAAAGAAAAAAATATACTAAGCACACTGCCTAGGAATATAGAATTGCCTTAGAAACACCAAAAAAATTTTTTTTAAATAAATAAATATTATGTCCTCATTAGTTACATAATAGAATCCAAAATTGTACTTTGGGGCATATTTTAAACTGAAAACTGCATGAAAGAGATTTGGACATAAAAAATTTAAGTTCAGATTAAAGGTTCTGTCAACTACAGAGATGGTGCACCTTTGTCAGACCTAAAGGTCACCTCTGTCTGCTTTTCCTTAGTTATAAGCTCCAAGAGGAAGGAATTAAACTATCAAAAGCTCCAACCGCAGACTTGACTATGAAGAGGCATCAGCTGGGGGCAACTACTTTGCATTTCTTCAATCCAGCATTTAATGGGTATCACACAAAAGAGAGAGAGGCTGTGTAAAGCCTCCTATTTAGGTGTTGAAGAAGATGGGCTTTGAGGCTACATTAGGTTGTAGGGATTCTTCTGTTCCTCAGTTTCATCCTCTGCAAAATGGGCATTTTCAAGTACTTAACTCATAAATAAGTCACCAGGATTAAATAAGAGAAAGCATGCAAAATGGACTTGTCGCGCTCCCACCCCCAACTACTAGTAAATTCAAAGTCCGAGTTTGATCTATCTAGTTTGCTGCTATATTCTCAGGGCCAAGAATGGTACTTTTTACTTAATAGGTTATTTAATAAATATTAAATGAATGAAATGCAAAATGCCTGCTGCTCAAAAAAAAATGTTGGCGAGAAACAATTAAAATTTTATTTTATTAAGAGACCCCACCCCTCACCCACGGATCTCACAATTCCCGGAGGTAAGAAAACCAACTGGATTGTAAAACAGGACTAAACAAAAACAAAATAAAATCTTAAATCTACAACCACAGCCCAATTCCGGGCTTTCCGGAGTAAGGTTCACCCAGGATGAGGTTGATTAGCCATCACCATGGCAGTGTTCACGCTGGCGTTAGGTGCCCAAGTCTGTGTCAAGCGCTCTACTGGCTTCACAAAACCCAACCGCCGGGGTCGGATGGGGTATGGAGACGATCTTCACACCCCCATTTTACAGATGGGAGAAGCGAGGCTCGTCGAGAGCCAAGGTCGCAGCCTGTAACTGTAAGTGGGGGCGCCGGGATGTGAACCCCGGCAGTCCGACCCCTGAGCCTGCACTCCACAGGCTTCTCAGAAGAACCATCCTCGAGTCCTCCACCACAGGCCCCGCGCCCCTCGAAATCAGGAGCGTGTCACATCCCCCCAGGAGCCGGACTTAGCGGCCCCAGTGCTGGGAGAACAAAACAATCCTTGTCCGTGGGCAAGTCCCAGGGACGCCGGCCCCGCCTGGGGCTTCGAGGCCGCGGTCCACACAGTTTCGCTCTCACCGTGAGCCCCGAGCCCTCCGGATGGCGCTGGAAGTGCCCAGGCGGCCCCCGGGAGCCCAGGAAG